GATTCCCACAACCACAACAGAAACACAAGACGCCCCCCACCCCCGCCATCTACCATCCCGGGAATCCCCAAGCCCGGCAGCCAAAGTTCTGAGTTTTCGGCGCTGAGAACATCCGGGCAAGCGTGCCTGTGCTTCCAAAGGGCCTCGGTAGGGGGCAGAATTGGGACCCGGATGTTCTAACGCTTGTAGTAAGGCGCGACGTAAAGTGGGTCTGCTTTACGGCACCCTACTTCCGCCGTAAAGCGCTGTCGGCGAGCCCACGTGCGGGTATTGACGGCGCAACTTCCTGGTGAGAAGCGCGACTCTCGGTGGCACGCAGTCTTGACATTTTCGCCATGGGCAAACGCGGGAGCCGCAGCCAGAGCCAGCTGCTCAGCACTCTGACTAAAAAGCAGAAGAAGCATCTGCGGGATTTCGGCGAGGAGCATCCCTTCTATGACAGGTTTGGAGGGGCGTGGCTGGGACCTGCGCTGTCAGCGTCTTTTCCAGTGGGAGGTGGTGTTTCCTGGATCTGGTCTGCTCGTCTCCCAAGGTATAGAGATAGGGTTGCTCCAGCTTCTTAAGCTTCCCGGACTCCCGCCGGGCTGCGGGTCGTGTCCCCACGGGTGCTCGGCTGGGGAAGATTCTGGCGGCAACCGGCAGGGAGATGGGGGGGTCCTTCACGGGTCTCCTGCCTTTTGTTGAGACCGTAACCTCGTGCTAGACGGCACGCCCATTATGTGTGGGCAGGTTTTTGTACGGTCAACGATATTTTCAGATTTTTTTGGTTTTTTGTGTTTTTAAAGGATTAGTTGAGATCCTCGACATCACTGATGTGTTCAGATACAGTGAGGAAACAGATGTATCGGTAGTTGTGAGTTCCTCTAGAAAGGTCCAGACTCAGTTATGATCTTTTTTTTTTTTTTTTGTCTTTTTCCGTGTCCGGCAACGGATCGCAACCCTCAGTGTCGCCCCCGCACCGGACCAGGACCGGCAACGGGATCGCAACCCTCGGCGTTGCTCCCGCGCCTCGCTCAGCCAGTGAGCAGGAACCGGTCTGTATGTGGGATCCGAACCCTCGGGCGGGAGCGCCGCCGCGCTTCCCAAGCGGCACACTATCCAGTGCGCCACCGGGCCGGCCCAGAGTTATGATCTTAGTGCTCATCCCACTACTTTGGGCTGCTTTGTCAGAAGATAGAGAGACATTCTAATTAAGTAATTTGTTAGAAAAAGGTGAACCTAGAGATCTTTTGTTTGCCAAGTTGTATCCTTCTTTTAGATGAGAGCCAGTTATGGTGTGACTCTAGTGTTTGTCATGTGACCCTGTTAAACTTTTCATTTGTAACTTGTTATGAATTTGCCATATTCTTGCAATCCCTTCCAAGTGCATATGTAGTTTTTACATGTCTGTAGTTATAATGTATTTATAATGGTGAGTTTTCCCTTTTTCATTTAAAGTTGTATTATTAAACTTTTTTCTTAATTGCTACATACTAGTAGTTAGGGTGTAACATTACCTGTCTCTTCACAGGGTTTCCAGAAAAGAAGTAAAACCACAGATTTGTCAACTGGTAATGCTTTATACCTTCTTTTAATAGTTGGTTCTGTGTTATCACCTTTGATATTATAATAAAGCTTGATTACATTTCCGCTCTTTTGATTTTACAAGTAAGCTATTATTATAGTAACATTGCTTAGGTTTAAATGCAGATGTCTATTAAAATGCCATTGTGATAACTGACATTATGCTAACAGAAACCAGAGTTTGAAACTGTCCCAAGATGCTAGCCTATTAAGGCCTGTTAAAGAGGTTTACCAGAGTACTCTTAGTGAATCCTGAGGAAGGGTATCTTTTTTGCTTAACATACAAGGAGTCACAAATAGAGTGCAGAATGAACAAAGGTCCTGTCTCATTACAATAAACTTAGAGGAACTACATTCTTTTGTTTATTGTAATTGTTCATTTAAACATGTAGCCTAACGTCTGGGACCTAAGGTTAAATCTCATTATAACCTAAGGTTCTATGTTTTAAAAGTCAGCTTTCTTCCCACGTGGGGCATTAGTAGTTCAGAGAATATGAAGAGCTTCTAGAATTATAGCTAACTTAGCTCTTTTAAATAAATTTGGTGCTGTGCTTGGTTGAATAGATAGGATTGCATGATATTTGCAGAGAAGCTAATTTTTATTTAGGAAAGTCTGAACCTGTTGGCTTGATGATAGTCTTAGGGCAACAATGCAAACAGTATAATTTTCGTTTTTAAAATTTCCATTGTTTTTTAGTCAGAAAGTTCAGATACTTCAAATTCTGAAAGTGAAGCAGAGAGTGAACCAGAACAAGTATCTGGGTACCACAGACTACTTGCTACACTAAAAAATGTTTCAGAGGAGGAAGAGGAAGATGAGGAGGAGGAAGGAGACAGTGTTGTAGGTGATGCAGAAATGAATGATGAAGATGGTGATGCTGACATCAGTGTGGAAGAAGAGACAGCAGCAGAATCTACTGAAATGCAAGAGAGTAAGTGTCTTTGGTGTGGGCTTGTCATCTTTGTCAGGACCTTAGTCAGGTTGCCCCATGGGCACAGTACCCTGTACTCTAAGAGTTGGATGAGAGCACATGGATCCAAAGCAGAGATTTAACGTCATTGAGTTTGATTATATCTCTGAGAATCTGAAGGAAACATGGGCCCCTTTTACCAGAAAAATGCAGAAATTATGATTTTTTTTTTTTTTTTTTTTTTTTTATCTTTTGTCTTTTTCCGTGTCCAGCAATGGATTGCAACCCTCAGTGTTGCCCCCGTACCGGACCGGGGACTGGCAACGGGATCGCAACCCTCGGCGTTGCTCCCGCGCCTCGCTCAGCCAGTGAGCGGGAACCGGTCCGTATGTGGGATCCAAACCCTCGGGCGGGAGCGCCGCCGCGCTTCCCAAGCGGCGCACTATCCAGTGCGCCACCGGGCCGGCCCCAGAAATTATGATTTTTGCTTATGATTTCCCATCATACGGAGGAAGGAGAACATAGTTCTGTCTTTGTGACTCTCTGAATATTTTGAAGAGGTTCCTCCCTTAGGGAGACCAAGTCTGATGGAAGATAGGCATAAAGATATGTCAACATTTTTAAGCAGTATATTTGGATTTGCATGAAACAGCTACATATAAGATGTTAAAGAGATGCCAATGGTCACACACTGCCCGGGTAAATCAGAGAAGAGTTGGAATAAAAGCCCAAAGGAGCTCTATCTCACTCAGACTTCTAGGTAACTTTTTTTCTTTATCTTTAAAATCAACTTCACTGAGGTATGATTTACATTCAATAAAATGTACCCAGTTAAAGTATACAATTTGAAGAGTTTCAACACATATATTATCAGTGTTATTACCATCAAAATTAAGATAGAGCATTTCCATTACTTCTAAAAAGTTCCTCCTAGTTCTTTTGCAGTCAGTTCCCCACCCCTGGCATCAGGCAACCACTGACCTGCTTTTCTGTCATTATAGACCAGTTTTGCCTGTTCTAGAAATTCGTATAAATGGAATCATATAGTATAAACCTTTTTGTGTCTGGCTTTTTTTTTGCTCTTCATGTTTTTGTGATTTATCCATGCTGTTCATTTATTAGTATTTCGTTACTTTTTGTTGTTGAAATGGTATTCCGTTGTCTGAATATATCTGGGTGACTCTATATCTCACTGTTGTAGTGCCTGTTTTCCTTAGAGCCTTGTTTTTTCTGTACTTGAAGGTGTCACCTATCATTCTTAGTATTTTAACTGATTGGTTTTACTGGGTGAAAAATTTATTGCCTCAGACTTAGTGTTTTTTTGGTTTTGTTTCCCATTTTTCTTTGCTTTTTTTGATTTTTAAAAGTTAAAATAGGTTTTTCTAATTATAAAAGTAATACATATTTATTGTAAAAATTTTAAAGGGTAGTATAGTTAACCCATACCCTCACCACCCAGTGGTAAACACCTTTAACCCTGTGTATAGCCTTTCAGACTGCTTTTTTATGGATATGTTTGAGTACTAGTATATACATATATTTGTGTGTATGTGTATAATGATATACATTTCTGTAGCTTACTTTTTTTCTTTAATAATACATCATGGACCTTTTTTAATGTCTGCAACTGTTGGTTAACATTAACTTCTTAATTACATAGTATTCAATTGCAAGTGATATGTGGTAATTTATTTAATTAGTACCCCATTGATAGATATTTCACTGTTTTCTAGTTGTTTCTTACTGTAGTCAGTGCTGCTTTGAGTGTCCTTTCATGTACATCTTAGTGTACTTTGTCCAGTTATCATTTTAGAGTGAGTTCCTAGGACTGGAACTGGGTATATTAATTATGATTCTCCAGAGAAGCAGAACTAACAAAATGTGTATACATAGAGAAAGAATGTATTTTAAGGAATTGGCTCATGTGATTGTGGAGGCGTGGCAAGTCCAAAGTATCTGATGGGGGAGGCCTGCTGGCCTGAGTCTCAAGAAAGAGTTGCAGTTCAAGTGCAAAGACAGTCAGTCAGAAGACCCCAGAGGAGCCAGTGTTGCAGTTGAAGTTCAAAGGCAGCTGCTGGAAGATAAGTAAGAGGGGAGGTCAACCTTTTGTTTTGTTCCATTCTGGTCTTCACCTGATTTGATGAGGCCCAGCCTACACTATGGAGGGTAAACTGCTTTACTCAGAGTCCACCAATTTAAATGTAAATCTAATCCAGAAGACACCCTCATAGAAACATCCAGAATAATGTTTGATCAAAAGTCTGGGCACCATGGCCTAGCCAAATTGACATGTAAAATTAACCATCACATTGGGTCAGTGATAAGGCTTAATTTTTAAATGTATGTCTTCCACCTTGTATTTCTGTTGTTTATAACAGAATACCCAAAACTGGGTAATTTATAAAGAAATAAAATTTATTTCTTACAGTTTCAGAGGCCGGGAAGTCCAAAATCCAGGGAACTGGGTAATTTATAAAGAAATAAAATTTATTTCTTACAGTTTCAGAGGCTGGGAAGTCCAAAATCCAGGGAGCTCACCTGGTGAGGGCCTTGGTGGTAGTGGTGACTCTTCATAGCAATGCAGGGTATCACATGGCTTGAGAGAGAGAGAGTGCACATGTGCACACTAACTCCTTACTCACTCTCCTTTCAAAGGCATCAGAATCATGCCCATTACTCCATGAGTGGATCAATCTGTTCACTAGGACACAGGCCTCACAATCTAATCACTTCTTAAAGGCTCCACCCTTTACTATACTATTACTAAAATAGAATTTCCTACCCACTTAATACTGTCACTATGGGGATTAAGTTTCTAATACATGAAACTTTGGGGGACACAATTTAATCCGTAGCATAGCTGAATTTGCTTAAAATAGATAATAGCAATGAACATCTATGTTGGTGTAGGCTAAGGAATTAGATTTTATTTGTCAACAGAAGTATAATTCTGAGTAAATAATTTTACAAACTGTTTCTCAAAATTTCAGATGTGGCCTTATCTGCTGACCCTGAAGGAAAAGATGGGGAAGGGCCAGCTGTCACGTCACAAGAATCCCCAGAGGAGTTCACAGATGCAAAACACGAGTCACTGTTCAGCCTGGAAACCAATTTTCTCGAAGAGGAAAGTAGAGACAACTGTTCTCTGAAAGCTTCACAAGGTCAGAGCACAGTGTGTGTTGTTTTAATTCACCACGTGCTTGGTGGGTGTTGTGCACTAATACATGTTAAATCTGTTTCTGGAGTGAGCAGCAATAAAAGCAGATAGTTCAGCAGCTAGATCTAGAGCTGGGAAAAAATACCTCTCAAAGGTATTTTGTGCTTTTCAATGGTTTGTCAATGTTTGGGGCCAGGGGGGATGTTTAGGAGAACAAGCAGCTTAAGAAGAATAGTGGAGAAGACCAATTTTTCAGGCCTTACATTTCAATAATTGGGGTCAGGGAAAGACCTGATTTTCTCCCCAAACAGGGGAAGAGAAAGAGAAAATGGAGAAAATACTTTCCACGTTTCTCTCTGCTCTTCACTTGCTTTTCCTTATTAGAGCAGTAATTTTTCAAATTTGTGTGACCCAGGAGTGGCTAATCTGAAAGGTCCTTATTATCTTAGAAGCCCCAAAGCCCCAGCCTGTCTCCTTCATCTCCCTCAGCCTCTTGACCAAGCCCATGACCAAATGGTAGTCACTTGCACAGGGCCTGCCTGTGGAAGGCTCAGACAGGTTTCTGCTCTGTCAGATCTAGTGCCTATGCCTGGGTGGGCAAGTCAGATTGGTCTTGTTCTGTGTCCTGAATGCCTTCACTGATCCCTGTGCCATTCTTCAACCCAGCTTTACCATTCGTGAAACTGAAATATTAGTCTTCATTTGGCTTATTTAGTTATGTTGACTGTTATGCAGGAAAGGTAGAAGTAACAGATAGAATTTGTAGAATTTTAATACAAACCCCATTCTGAACCATCAAAACTTAGAAACCCTGAAAAAAACATGAGGAAGCTTGACTATCTCAAAGTTTCTCTAGTTGTTTGGCCTATACAGATATATTAGCACCTAGAATTCTTATGTTCTGTTGTTCACTGTTATCTTGGATATTTAGTGCAAGGTGCGTTTCTTTGAAGTTTTACCATTCAGATCCTCAAATAGGTCATTTAACTTTGCTGTGTTTCTTAATGAGTGGGACTGGGCAAAAAGGCCGGGTGGCCAGCTTAGAGCACTGAAGGTTACTCAGAGTGCAGGTGCTATCATTTGGATCATTTGTTCAATTCAGTTAAGTATTGAGCATTTCTGTCTTGCAGTGTAGGATCAATCAGACATGGGACCTGCCCTCAGTCATCTTGCAATCTGCTAAGTGAGATAAGACATGCACCAGTATGTGTTGTGATGGGTGGGAGGGGCAGGGTAGGGGACTCGGCAGGGAAAAGTGATGATTGTCTGTAGGGGCCCATTATGGCCTCTTAGTGGAGCCAACACCATGCCTGACACAGCTCCTGGGAAATATTTATTGTGAGTCAGGAGGTAACTTTAAACTGATACTCTTTGTATGCAAAAATGAGGTAAAAGAGATGCTGGAATTTTTAGTTGAAGGAAGGAAAATCACAGAGGTAGAAGAATTTGAGGATCATGTATTTCAGAAATTAACATTGGAGAGGCAGGTTGGAGGTGCATCATATAGCGCCCTGTATTTAAGGCTGAGAAATTTCTTCAGAGGTTTTTGGGCAGGGAGGTAATATGATTAAAGGACCACTCTAGGAAGATGAACCTACAAGGAGCCTTTAAGCTGTGGACTGGGCTAGAGGATAGGGAAAGTAGATGGAAAAAATGATGAGGTAAGACCACAAGATCAGCATGTCAGTCACAGTGGAAGACCAGAAAACCCCTGCCATTGCATTCAGTATGCTGACATTCTTTTTTCTGAATTAGATCCATTTCTACAACATGTGAACAATGAACTGAAAGAAAAAGAAATTCAAGCTGTTGCCACAAATCCGAAAACTACCCACCAGCTAAAAGTAAGTGTTGCTTGGTTATCCCAGTCACAAATGGCTCTAAATGCATCAGTGGCCTTGGGTTTTAGTGGTTTCCCAGAATGTATGACCTACATCAGTGGTGGATGGCTTGATAAGGAAGTGGGACACTGGAAAGCTGGAAGAGCCTAGTGAGGCACAGGTGTAGCTAGAAAAGGCACTGGGAAGCTGCAGTGTGGGTGCCAGGTAATATAGTGATGGGTACAAGTGGTTTTGGAGACAGGTGGACAAGGGTATAGACCAAAATCTGCAAGGGGCTGTCACATGACCTAAGGCAAACTAGTCGACCTCTTTGCTCTTCATTATTCTCATCTGTTGGAGAGGGACAGTAATGCCTATCTCCAAATAAAGTATTTAGTTTACTGACTGATACATAGTAAGTGTTCAGTAAAACAGTAGGTACTATTATTATTCATCTGAGATAGAGTCACAACTAAATTATTCATATATTTGCAATTTTTGCTTCTTTGTTTTCACCACTAATACTGTTCAGGAGAGTTGGTCATCTTTTTTTTTAATAGAAATTTTTATTGAGGGCCGGCCCGTGGCTCACTCTGGAGAGTGCGGTGCTGATAGCACCAAGGCCCCGGGTTCGAATCCCATATAGTGATGGCCGGTTCGCTCACTGGCTGAGCGTGGTGCTGACAACACCAAGTCAAGGGTTAAGATCCCCTTACCAGTCATCTTTTAAAAAAAATAAAAATAAAAAAAAATTTTTAAAAAAAGAAATTTTTATTGAGGTAAATAAATACAGAGACACATGCAGTTGGAAGAAATCATAGAGAGACATACCTTGTATACCCTTTGCCCAGTTTCCATATCTTGCAGAACTGTAGTACAATATCACAGCCAGGAAGTTGACATCGATACAATCTTGTTGGGGGCGTCTGGGGCAAGTTCGTATAACTTCGTATAATGTATGCTATACGAAGTTATTACGATGGCCGGTTCGCTCACTGGCTGAGCGTGGTGCTGACAACACCAAGTCAAGGGTTAAGATCCCCTTACCAGTCATCTTTTAAAAAAAATAAAAATAAAAAAATTTTTTTAAAAAAGAAATTTTTATTGAGGTAAATAAATACAGAGACACATGCAGTTGGAAGAAATCATAGAGAGACATACCTTGTATACCCTTTGCCCAGTTTCCATATCTTGCAGAACTGTAGTACAATATCACAGCCAGGAAGTTGACATCGATACAACTATCTTATTCAGATTTATCTGATTTTAATCCTGTTTAACTGTGTGTGTGTGTATGTGTGTGTGTATGTAGTTTTATACAGTTTTATCACATGTAGCTTCCTGTCTCTACTACCACAGTCAAGATGAGTACATATCCAGATGTGGATCCCTGTTGCCCTTTTATAACCACATCCACCTCTCTTTGAGCTTCCTCCCCCACCTTTCCTAACTCCTGGTAACTACTAATGTGATCTCCATTTCTATAATTTTGTCATTTTTAAAATGTTGAATAAGTAGAATCGTATAGAATGTAGTCTTTTGAGATTGGCTTTTTTTACTCAGCATAATTCCCTAGAGATTCATTCAAGTTGTTTCAGCTAGAATGAATTTTGACTCTTTCTAGAATCTATTCCACAGAACAGTGGGAAACACTGAAATAGTGAAGAGCTCATATTTAAAGTCAGAAACTTTGGTTCTAGCCCTCAGCTCTCTTCCCTTCTGTGTAAACTTTGTCTAGATCATACAGCCTCTGTGTGAAACTCAGCCTTTCTTAAACTGTAATGTGAGTGTTATGATATCTGTCTTGCAGGGTTGTTGTGAGGGGTAAATGAGATGATCTATAAATCGTGAAAATCTTGGTAAGTTATGAAGTACTATGTGAATATAAGGTATTATTATTCATTTCTAACCTAGCTCTTGATCTGTCTCTCCCCTAGTGGCCCATCCTGGGCCAGCTTGTCTTTTCATCCAAGTTTCAGAAGTTGGAAACATTTAAACCCCCAAAGGATATTTACTTAAAGTCACTTCATCTTCAGAAGCCTCTGGAATCCACCTGGACCAAGACCAATAGCCAGTTCCTATCTGGTCCTCAAAAATCAAGTAGCCCTTTCACCCCCCTCCAGAAAGAGCTCTTCTTAATTATGAATTCTTACCGGGACCTGTTCTACCCAGAAAGGACTGCCCTAAAGAATGGGGAAGAGATCCGCCATGTGTACTGCCTGCATGTGATAAATCATGTCCTCAAAGCCAATGCCCGGGTGCTTGCCAACAATAGCAGACGCCGAAGCCAGAAACTTGGGGTGGGTGATGATGATGACTTCAGGGACCAAGGGCTAACAAGGCCCAAGGTGAGTGGCAGTGGGAAAGCTTTGCCCTCAAGAAGGAGGCCGCAAGGCACTGCCATGCAGGTACCTGGCATTTTGCACGTACTTGAGTGTTTTAATAGTTACCTCAAATAATTAATGAGCCCAAAAGTGAGCACATGAAGTGGGCCAGGTGGTGTCAGAGCAGTGTCCCAGACAGCTCAGTGGCCTGTTTCTGACAGTGGATCTAGCTGGAACCTTGTGAGAAGCAGTTATTTCATGTTATTCTCCGTAAAGATAAACCCAGTTTTTCCATGTACTTTTTGAAGTAGCCTCATAACACTTCATTATAAATCTCTTCTTTATGATTGTCAGAGCTGAACGGGACCTAATGAGCCTTTTATCCAATCCCTGCATATTACAGCTGTGGACAGAGACCCAGGTTCATAGAGAGCCTTGCTAAAGAGAACCAGGAAAAGAGTAGCAGAGATGGGACTAGAACCAAAGATTCTCTTCACTAAGCCATATATAAACCTTTGAAAACAAAAATCCCTATTTGCCACTCTAAAGTTACCATTACCTTGCTTTATGCTCGCAAGTCTAAGCTCCAGTGGATTTGAGGCTTTAATAGGCAATGTCTTTTAATTGTCAATACTTTTCATGATGTTATAGAACTAGGTCTTATCTTTCCCCTACTTCCCTTCTTAGCCTATGTCTCCCATATTGAAGAAGCCTCATTTTTTTTTAGATTTTTCTCATTGGGCTTAATAGGATTCTAGCATTTTAATTTTGATGTGGCTCTTAGAGATTTCTTAGTCAAACCCCTTGGGGAAGCCAAAGTCCAGAGGCTTACTTAACGTCACAGCTGGGACAGTAACTCAGCCCTCTTAAATCTTGGTTCACCGTTGCTATACTGTACTGAGCTGAATCACTGTGCTCCTTTGGCTGTGCTGCTTGCCTTTCTGGTAAGCTCCCTCAGAATCTTGAACATCAGGATAATAAGATTATCTGTTTCCACTCAGAATTGCATGGAAGAATAAGAGGCAGATTACCCATGAAGCATGTTTAGAATTTGGTAAATTACATGATTTGACTGGGGTTATGTCCATTGTTTACAAAAGGATAATTAGAAATTAACCATTAAGCATATTCTGTTTTTATTCTCAACAGTAACTTTAAGCATTTTAAAAAATGCTTGGAAAACCAAGTCCTGTTTTTCCCATTGAATTATGGTCTTATTTTAGAGATGCTTTATCATCATTTCTGAAAAATGTACTAGGGAATGCACTAGAAAAGTAATGATGTGTTGATCCTTTTTCTTACCCACTTTATTTCTTCCCTATGTATCCATTTATTTATTCCACATGCATTTATTCAGTGGGTCTTATGGATAAAAAGAATGCAGTAAATTCTGTGGGAGACTTATGGATAAAAAGAACGCAGTAAGTTCTGTGGGAGACAGGTGCTTGAGCAACACTCCTTGCCCTTAAAGAGCTGCGCCTTTATGTACTTGAGTTCTTGCTGGTGGATGCGTCTGTTACAGGCATTCGCTTATCCGAAAAGGTGTTTCCAAATTCTGCTTGAGAAATGTCTCCCATGGAGCCATGGAACTAAAGTCCACAGGACAGAGTGCCATGGATATGAAAGGTGCTCAGCTTGTGGTATAGAGCCAGGCCCTGTGCAGAGGGGGTGACATAGATATGGTCCCTGGCCAGGGGCCACTGCTGTACACAGGACTTTTTTGCTTACCTTGACTCACCTTGAGCTGCCGTTCCTTTCCTTGCCCCTACCAAGGCTGCCATTGCTCCCTCTACAGGTACTGATAGTGGTGCCCTTCCGGGAAGCTGCTCTGCGGGTGGTGCAGCTCTTCATCAGCCTCCTTGAGGGCGACAGCAAGAAGAAAATCATTGTGAGCAACAAAAAGAGGTTTCAGGGAGAGTACGGGTCAGATCCCGAGGAGAGACCACCGAACCTGAAGAGGCCTGAGGATTATGAAGCTGTGTTCGTGGGCAACATTGATGACCACTTCAGGATCGGTAATTCCTCCTTGTCTGAATCAAGATACTATGGAACCTAAGGTGTGAAAGAACGTGTAGCTGGAGGCTGGAAGCCTGGAACTAGGCGTTTTCCCAGTGCTTCACTGACTCAGCCTCCTAACAGAACCAGTGTGCATTTGAGACATCTTGTTTGCCAGGGAGAGAGTCTTGCCTTGGTCACTTGGGTGGACACTTGGTAATGGGATGGAAAGAGTCTCTGAAGCCATGTATAAATAGTACATGCACATTTATACCAGAAATGTCTTAGCACATTCAGAGCTGGTAGCACATAGTCAGATGCTACAAGGGGTTCTCAGGGAAGTTGGAAATGACAGGGGCTGGATGGGGTCATTCTAGGGATGCTGAATAAACTGCGTGTCTGCAGTAGAGTGGATTCCTCCTGTCTGCCATGTGGAGTGCCTTCCCCTGGATTATCTCCACACGTGACTTATTGACACCCACCCGATTTTTCATGTTTTTGCTCATCTCTCATTCAACTCCCATTTACTTAGCTGGTTGTACCTTGATAAAGTGCTTGGGAAAATGTTCATTAGTCACGTATGCTCATTCACAAACATTTATTGCATATCTGCAATATGCCAGGTACTGTTAAAAAGCTGGGGACATAGAAACAAAAGCTGTGGTTCCCATTGCTAAGGAAGTCCAGCCTGAGGGAAGGAACAGACAGTACAGGATGATAAGTGTAGTGGGTGTTCTGGGAGTATTTAAAGCAAACCCCCTTACCCAGAATGGCGGGCAGGGTGGGTAGGGAAGGCCTGGCAGAGGTGCCATCTGTACTCCGTTGAAACCTGAGTAGGCTTTAGCCAGTTACAAAGTGGGGTGGTTTGACTGGAGGAAAACGTTTCAGACAGAAAACTGCCTGTGCAGAGGCACCTGGGTGGCTAATCCTGGAATGACCTAAGATTCACACAGGCTTCAGTATGGCTGGAGATGAGACCTGATTTCATTTACAGATGTACAGATGTCTAGCAAGCAGTTGGTATTGCTGGTCTGGAGCTCGGTAAAGAGATGCAGGCTTGGGCCGGCCCGGTGGTGCACTCGGTAGAGTGCGGCGCTTGGGAGTGTGGCGGCGCTCCCGCCGAGGGTTCGGATCCCATATAGAGACCAGTCCACTCACTGGTTGAGCGCGGTGCGGGCGCGACACTGAGGGTTGCGATCCCGTTGCCAGTCGCAGTACGGGCGGGTTCGGATCCCATATAGAGACCAGTCCACTCACTGGTTGAGCGCGGTGCAGGCGCGACACTGAGGGTTGCGATCCCATTGCCAGTCGCAGTACGGGAGCAACACCGAGGGTTACAATCCCGTTACCGGTCACGAAAAAAGACAAAAAAGGAAAAGAAAAAAAAAAAGAGATGCGGGCTGGAAATATAAATCTGTGTGAAGGCAATGTTAGACCTATGTTAGTGAGTAAAGCTTTATGTTGAACACCGAGGGTTACAATCCCGTTACCGGTCACGAAAAAAGACAAAAAAGGAAAAGAAAAAAAAAAGAGATGCGGGCTGGAAATATAAATCTGTGTGAAGGCAATGTTAGACCTATGTTAGTGAGTAAAGCTTTATGTTGAACGAGAGTAGAACTTACAGATGAATCCAGGGGGTTGTGGAAGAAGATGTAGTTGGATCTAGAAAGCTAGACAAGGGCCAGGTCAATGATAGAGACAGAAGTGAGTGTTGAAGTCGTGGAAACTATTGCAAGGAAAAGAGCATTTATGCTGTTTGTGCATTCCTGACAAGAAGCCCTGAGAGTTCATTGAATTGGTAACAGAGGACTGGGGGGATCTTAGCAAGTCATTTCAGGGGAGTCCTGAGAATCATAGGCCGTATTGCATGGATTGAGAAGTGAATGAGAGATTCAAAAGTAGAAACAACTCTCTGGAGAAGTTTGACGGTGAAGGAAAGGAAGAGAAGGTAGAAGCTAAAAGGGACTCTAGGTCCAAGGAAGGGATTATTATTACTCTTACATTCTAATAATTAAAGCAGTTTGAGCACAGTTATATGGTAAGGGGAGCATAGATGTGGAAGGTATAGGAGAGGGGCAGCCTTGGAGAGGGTAGGAGGTAAAGGGTTGGTGGTGACTAATGAGCTGACGTGTACTTGCTGTTCTGTGTAGGAGTGGCAATACTTCAGAGAAGCATCCGACTCTATGCCCCCTTTTACTCCTCGGATATCCTCATTGCTTCCCCTCTGGGCTTGAGGACCATCATTGGTGGAGAAGGAGAGAAGAAGAGAGATTTTGACTTTTTGTCTTCTATCGAGCTACTCATCATTGATCAAGCTGACATTTACCTGATGCAGAACTGGGAGCACGTTTTGGTAATGCTGTTCATTCACATTTACAGGGACAACATTCATATTTACAGAGACAAGAAACTCGGTGGTTTAGTCATAAAGGGTTATTTAAGTCCAGATTAAAAGTCAGTTTGAAAATAGGGAAATACTCCACATTTTCCAATTCGAAAGTCTTTTGTTCCCTCTTCCACCCACATATTGGTCAGTAATTAAACTATTCAGAGATAATAATTCATGTCAGTATTTCAAATCTCCAGAAAATATTTCTTTCCCTTAAAGGTTGCTTTCTTCTAATAGTCCACATTCTTTTTTATTTGGTCTTCAGTGGAGATGGGGAAACATTGCTTAATATTTTTTAATGTGGGATCTTGTTTTGCAGAGAAATGTAGGATGTCTTTATCCCCCTACTGTAATTAGTAGGATTAAATAAATTAAAATTAAATTAAATTAATTAAAATTTATTTAATTTTTTCTCCTCCACATACTCTGCAGTGTTGTCAGTTTTAGGACTGAACAACTGCTTTGGAACAATCCTTATCAAAGAACTATAGGTTTGCTTTTTAAGACATATGGGAACTCTCCTCCTGTCTTAAAAACCCATGATTTGAAGCTTGTGGGAAGTTTGGAACAAATAAAGGGTAGTACTTACTTATAAAATAGGGAATAAAGTTATAGTACTCATTACTTTTCAATATATATGACAAGGTGAAAATATAATTAAAATGGAAAAGTCGGATCAATGGTTGAGTCATATTCTTTAATTTGAGGAAAAGGTAGGTGTGGTGGCTCTAGGAGTACTCCTCATGTTTTGAGAACCAGGTCAATAAAGGACAGCAGCTCTGTTTCCCATGTCATTTCCCTTGTTCCAATCTGGGACTGAGGGACCCACAGAGTGACTGGGGTGGCTTTTCAGAAGTTCTTTTTAAGGGAATATTCCTATAGGTACCATTTTGATCCTTTTTTAAAGGTCTAAGAGGTGGTCACTTTTAGCTTATCTTCTTGTTGGGGGCGTCTGGCTGACCATGGAATATTCCTATAGGTACCATTTTGATCCTTTTTTAAAGGTCTAAGAGGTGGTCACTTTTAACTTATCTTCTTGTTGGGGGCGTCTGGGGCAAGTCACTCACCCATCTGAGCCTTGGTTTTCTTGTAATTGGGAGATGATAGTACATGCTCCATGGGATTAACAAAGATGAAAGACTTGTAAAATGCTCAGCAGTGTCCAACATATAAATGCTCAATGAACATTAATGTTACCGTTATTTCTGCTAAAAGCATTTGATGAACCACATGAACCTACTGCCCTTGGACTCTCATGGTGTAGATTTTTCTCGAGTGCGGATGTGGAACCTCAATAATTGGTCCAAGTACTATCGCCAAACACTGCTGTTTGGGGCCCTCCAGGATGCCCAGATCAACTCGCTGTTCAACAAATACTGCGTCAATTTGCAAGGCCAGGTGGGTCCTCTCCTTGTTTCCTCTGTGTCATCATGAAGCACTGTTTATTGTTTGGTTCGTGAGGCAGAAGGAGATGATAACATTTAGTCAACAAGGGGATGGCTCACCCCCTAATGCTCTCCCTGATTCCTGGCAGATGGCTGTGAGGAACGTCCCTACGACAGGTTCCATCAGTCATGTCCTGGTACAGCTCCCACATGTCTTCCAGAAGATGGAAGCTGGAAACCTAGTTTCAGTGATTGATGCCAGGTAACTTACCTATTGGGCCTCTGGGGACCACATACAGAAATTTGACTTTGGCATACAAACTAAGAGTTGGGTTCCATGTTGCTTTTATTAATTACTGTTTACCAAATTAGATGAGATCATTGAACTCAATCATGCCATTTGACAGGAGGAAACTGAAGCCCAGAGAAAAAAGTTGACTTAGTCTAGGTCTCATAGCTAGTTCATGGCAGTGTTTAGCACTGTATCAGGGCTTCTTCCCCCTTGACAGTGGCATTTTAAAATTACGTTACAGTGCTTAGTGCTACAAAGTGTCCCATGTCAGCAACTTAATTGTAAGCCCTTCAGGGCAAGAACTATTTTTCTAATTCTGTATATATTTTTTCCCTTTTTCCTCATTGTGTTTAGTTAGGGGACCCCATGGTAGCATAATGGCTTAGCATATGGTAGATGTTCAGTGATTACTTGTTGACTGATTGAATGAATGGTATGGCATAGACTTCCTAGAATAATTCTTCAGGATGTAATGGCAATATGTTTAGTTTTTATAATAAATAGTGTTAGCACTTTTTTTTAAGTTTATTAATATTATTTTTTTTGCATTCTAAGATGTTGCTGAGCAGTTGGGGGGAGGATGAGGAGGAAGGGGGAAGGATATAGAGTGGGAGGACGAGGAAAGAGAGAGATCATGGTTGAGGCCCGTGGCACTCCCCTCATTCCTGCAGGGGAGACCAGGGGGCTTCCACCGGTGGCTCAATCTATGCTGGGCTGGATGTAGATGTCAGAGGGGTGTGGCTAAAGCCCTCAGCCCCTGACTGCCCTGGCTTAGGAGCCCAGGGTACTTCCTGTGGGAGCTTGGTAGTTGTCACTGGCTGGTTGCAGATGTCCAGAGGGCATGGCTGAGACCCCCAGCCCTACCCCTTCCCTGGCTTAGGAGCCCAGGGGGCTTCCAGTCCTTCTAGGTTTTATAGGTGTCCTTTGGTGATATGAGACCTTTACTAGTTAATATCAAACTTTGTCTCATCTGTGGGTATTTTGTTTTTTCTTTCAGTTCCGTATTGGATTATTCACTGTTCCCACCACTTAAACTTTGCATTGGAACTAATTTGTTGTCCTTTGCTTACTTCTAAAATGGGGGGATTTCCTGTGGAAACTAGCATTTGAGCCCTGTAGTTGAGCTAAATTGCTTCATTGCTGCTGATTCCCTGGGGAAGGCTTTTTGTGCAGGTCAAGTTTTAATTGTTGACCTTGTATATGCTTCCAGGTCTCATGAGATCCGGTTCACCTGGGTTGTATGGAAACTCTGGTCTGGGCCCAAGTCTTTTCAGCAAACAGAACCTCTGCAGTTCTGTACTCCTGACCAGTCTCCACTGAGTAGTCCTGTGCTGATTGGGGAGCAGATCAGCTGTCCATGCTGTGTCCCAATGTTCCCCCAGTGGGCCCATCTCCCCACTGCCCATATTCCAAATACTTCCTATGGGACGGGCCATGTGCAGGTCCCTTGCAATGACTCACGAGCCTCTGAGTGGCTCCTTTTTTCAGTTGTTCTGGCTCCTCACTTCTCTATGGGTCCACGAGAACCCTGTTAGTGGTCATGCTGTCCTGGGGGCCACCAAGGCCCTCTTCTCCACTTCCGCCTCCAAACAACTTCATACAAAGGGCACAGCTGTGGGTTTTGCCAACTTCTGCTCCGTGTGCTCAGCAGCTCCAGCCTTGAAGCAGCCAGGGCTTGAAATGGTGGGAACAATCCTTTCTTTCTCTCATTGTGGCTTCTCCCACCTTCATGCACACCGTAGGTCTCTCCTCCTCTTCCCCTGAGCTCTAGCAGCCCCAGCTTGGCTGTCGTTGCTTTTTAATAGTTGTACATTGGTTGATTTGTGAGAGAGGGTGACACTGGCAACTGTCTATTCTGCCATCTTGGCCAGAAGCAGCACTTATTTTAAATGTTTATCAAATTTTATCCTTATATAATCTCTTTGGGAGGAAGTAAGTCATACTGGCTTCTGGGGAGGTAATCTCTTAATGTGAGATTGTGACTTGCCCAGCATCACATAGTTAGTAGGCACTGTAGGCTCAACTCTACCAGACCAGTAACTTTGCCCTTTGCCTTCCAAATCAGGTTTAACTTTTTTGTGAACAAGATCTTGCCTCAGTATCGTGATGCAGTCATGTCTCACACACTCATCTATGTCCCCTCCTACTTTGACTTTGTGCGTCTCCGAAATTATTTCAAGAAGGAAGAACTGAACTTCACCCAAATCTGCGAGTACACCCAGAAGTCTGGTGTCTCCAGGGCCAGACACTTCTTCCTTCAAGGAGAGAAACAATTTCTACTATTCACAGAGCGCTTCCATTTCTACAAAAGGTAAAGTAGTGCCAGGTTTCGAGCCTCCTCTCTGAAGGGGAGACGTGTGGAAATCATGGCCTGCTTCCGGATGCGTGGTTGGCTTTGCTGTGTTATAAGGTCATCCCTCACTTTACCTTTCTAGTGGAGAAGCCAGAGAGTTTCAGGGCTGGACACTCTTGTGGTTGGTTGGTTGGTTGGTTGGTTG